TTCCTCTATCCTTCGAGTCGCGCGCGGAAGCTTGGAAATTATTATGGTCTTTAAATAATTTTATTTCCCCTGCCACAGGCCAACCGATACTTTTACCAAGCCAAGATATGGTTTTAGGTTCTAGTTATTTAACATTGAAAACTTCAAAAATATTTCAAGAAATTTATTATAAGTTAAATACACAAAAATTATTTGATAATGATTTAATTTTAAAAATCAAACAAAAATCTTTTTATGAGGTTAATCAAATTTTTAATAAAACCCAAGTGGAAGCCATCCAGTCATATCATCAATCTTTATGGATTATTTGGAATAAACGTTTTGAAACTGATCGTAAAACTCAAAAACTATTAGAAATTCGACTGAATCGTTTTGGGGCTTTTCAGAAAACTTATCCAAACTTACAAAAAAGTTTTTCATCGAAAAATGAACAACAAAATCAAAAAATTTTCACCACAATAGGGAGAATTTTATTTTATTTTTGGATTAATCAAACAGCCGCCTCTTTTAAAAAATTAAATGGTACAGAATATTAATTTATGTTATTCTAAAAGGAATAGAGAAAGGTACATATGGATTATTTTTTTGATCGATGCTTTGAAAAAAAGCGATTAAAACAATTACTGATTTGGTTTTATCATATTGAAGGCGAAAAAAATACATTAAAATTATTAGAAAGCTTAAAACAAATAGGTTTTTTTTACTCTACGAAATCTGGTTTATCGATAGGTCTTGAAGATTTACAATTAAATTTAAAAAAATCACGATTATTTAACTTAAGTGAATTTGAAATACAACAAATTGAATTCCAATATCAAAAAGCCAATTTAACCAAATTGGAATATTTTCATCAATTAGTCGAAATTTGGGCCAAAACAAATGAGCAATTAAAATATCAGATTATAAATAATTTTCAATTAAAAAACCAATTAAATCCATTATTTTTGATGGCTTTTTCAGGAGCCCGTGGGAATATTTCTCAAGTTCGTCAACTTGTAGGCATGCGAGGTTTAATGTCAGATCCGAAAGGTCAAATTTTAGATTTTCCTATTCGAAGTAATTTTCGTGAAGGATTAACTTTAACAGAATATATAATATCTTGTTACGGCGCAAGAAAAGGAATCGTAGATACAGCCTTAAGAACCGCTACTTCAGGGTATTTAACACGAAGATTAGTAGATGTGGCTCAACATGTCATTATTGAAAAACAAGATTGTAAAACTTTATATCCTATATGGGTTGGTAATTTATTAAGCGGTAAAAAAATATTACTTTCTCTGAAACAACGTCTACTAGGTCGGATTTTAGGTAAACAAATTGAGATTCAACAATCAAAAAATATATTTTTAAAAAATTCAGAAATTACGGTTCCTATGGCTGCACATTTATCTTCTGAATTTACGAAAATACCTATTCGATCACCTCTAACCTGTATCTCACCAAATTCTATTTGTCAATATTGCTATGGTTGGAATTTAGCTATGGAATCTATTGTGCCTCTAGGCGAAGCTGTTGGCGTTCTAGCAGCGCAATCTATTGGTGAGCCGGGCACACAATTAACAATGCGGACTTTCCACACGGGAGGTGTTTTTTCGGGAGATTGGATTGAACAAATGCACTCACCGATCACGGGTAAACTTTTTTATACAAATAAAGTCGCTGGGGATCTAATACGAACATTAACTGGAAAAATAGCTTTTTTAGTAAAATATTCAAACTATATTGTATTAGAATCATTAACTAAAAAAAGAATCATTTTTAAGATTCCATCCTATACCCTATTATTTATTAAAAACCATCAGTATATTTATAAAAAACAATTAATTGCAGAGCTTTCTTCAAGTGGTTTACTTCAAACTCAACAAATCTATTCGGAAAAAGATGTATATTCAAAAAATTCGGGACAAATTTTTTTTGAAAATATTTCAATTTTAGAGAAAAAAAAGAATAATGGTGAACAAAAGCATTATACTCAAAAAATGGGTACTATTTGGATTTTAAAAGCTCTTTTTTTTGAGGCTTTTTTTAGGAATAAATTTTTTCCCGAAAAATTAGATATTATAGACGCTAACGTTGCTCTACAAAAAATTCAATTAAACATTCGTGAATTTAGTGAGACTTTAGAAGTTCAACAAATAGCTTTTAATAAACATCCTAAAAACTCTATTATTAGAAAATGTTTTATAGAAATTTTAGGTTATTTGGATTTAAATTTGATCAATTATAAAAAAAAATACTATTTTATTGCGCAACGAAGCCCTAAATTAAGAACTTATAAAAACAATCGCCATTTATATTGCATAAATTTTATTGCGTTTTTTTGGGGGTTTATTGGAGGCTTTAAACAAATTTCATTTCAAAATCAAATATTAAATTATGATTATCTATTTTCAATAATACATCAAAATCGGAATGATAATTATTCTTTAAAAAGTGTTAAAAAAAATTTTTTATTAAAAACGAAAACACGTTTTCGTTTATTTCCTTATAGTTTTAAATCAATGCAGCATTATGCCTTTTGGTATAACCCGATATTTCGAAATATTTCAAATATTGAGAGCTTTTTTAAAAAAAATTATTGGAAAAATTATAATGCGAGTATTAAAAATAAAACAGTAAAAAGGTTCGTATATATAAGAACACATTTAGATAGAGCTTTTAACTTTTCTACTAGACCAAAATATACGATTCAAAATTTTAGAATACAAACTCTCTTTTATTCATCAAAGATCGATTTTAAAGTTTTTTATTACACGTGGATAGTTAAAAAGTTTTCGACTTTTTATTTTAAAGATTCACTAAAAATCCTTAAGCTTGAATCATTATTCCATAATCCATTACAAAAATTGGGAAAAAAGCTTCCATCCATAGGTAATCTAGCAAAATTTCGTTGTAGTGTAAACTTCCTGGACGAAAATTTTTTAGTTAATCCATTAAATATTTCAAAATTGGAATCTAAACAAGAAAACAATATAATTTGGTATACGTTTTTAAAAAGTCAAAAAATCATAAAAAAAAATATTCCTGATAAGACAGCTTTTTATCATACAAAATTGTCAAATGATCAAAATATTGGAACATTTCAAAAAATCTATTTTTATGCAATTTTTTTATTTTTTTGTACAAATCTTAGCTTTCATAATAAGTCTAGAAGGTTTTTTATAAAACGAAATGTTTGTTCAACAATGACAATATTAAAATTTATAAATCAGGGCTTGGGTGATGGATTTGTACCAAATAATAAAAAATTATTGTTAAAATGGATTAAACCAAAAATTTTTCATCCTATTTTTTCAAAAAATCTGAAAACGATTAATTTTAAAAAATTTTTATATAGAAATCCTTTTAAAATCAAGTATCACCAAAAATTTTTTAAAATTAATTGCCAAACCGTGATTAAAATAAGTAAAAATTCTACTTACAATTTCGCTTTTAGTGGGTTTAAAACGATATATCAAAAAGATAATTCTAAATTTTTTCAACTCACTAAAAATAAATTTGTTATTTTTAAACAAAAAAATTTTGATCTATATTTACGAAATTTGCAATCTATAAATAATGATTTAACTTTTTATTTGATTAAAACAAGCTCACGTTTTAAAAATTTTAAAGCAAATATTTTTTTAATCGTTTATGCCGATTTGCTGAAAAGTGAATTTATAACTAAAACAAATGATGATTTACCAAAAATTGCTATACTTGAGCAAAATCATTTGTTAAATTATAAAATTACTCATGGTCATTTACAGAATTTTTTTTTAGGTCAATGTTTACAACCTATGAAAAAAATTAAAAAAAATCAAATAATAATGTCTTCTGGACAAATATTAAAAATATGTAAACAAAACCTTTTACTAAGAAAAGCGAATGCCATATTATTGACCTCCAATGGAATTTTACATATTCAAAATAAAGCGTTCATAAAACCAAATACACGTTTATTTACAATGTTTTATACTCACTTTAAAACAGGGGATATTGTTCAAGGAATTCCAAAAATTGAGGAGTTTTTTGAAGCTAGACAAACGCGTGGAGGTAATCCTTTATTTGAAAATCTTCATTTACGTTTACAATATCTATATAATAAATATAAAATTCAATATCATTATCCAAAAGCTGTTAAAAAATCACTACTTAAATTACAGCAAATTATTGTTAATGAAATTCAATTTGTGTATACAATGCAAGGTATCTTTATTTCTGATAAACACATTGAAATTATTATTCGACAAATGACCGCTAAAGTACGGGTATTAGATGGAGGAGCTACCGGATTATTAAGGGGTGAATTAGTGGATTTATTATGGATTGAAAAAATTAATCAGCGACTTCAATTCAAAACTATTAAATATGAGCCAATTATATTAGGTATTACAAAAACATGTTTAGAAACTAATAGTTTTATTTCGGCAGCCAGTTTTCAAGAAACGACTCGCATTTTAACAAAAGCCGCTATTCAAAATAAAATGGATTTTATATGTGGTTTAAAAGAGAATGTTATTTTAGGTCATTTAATTCCAGCAGGCACTGGTTTTTTTGCATTTTAATATTTTTTTAGTAATCTTGTGGAATTCCACAAGATTACTAAAAAAATATTAAAATGCAAAAATTAATGGATCTGGAAAGAAACGATTAACTTCAATGATTAAACTAGATAATAGACTAAGCCATATAAAAGCGATTACAGGAGCTGTTGATAGATAAATTTTTAAATTTTGCATAGTAAATACTTTATAAAATTAAATTAATTTAACTTTTAATAATGAAAAATAAACAATAATTGTAAAAAAAATTGTAGCAAATAAAATAGAAAAATAAGTCAATAGTGACAGCATAATAGTCAATTTTTTATAATATTCTCAAAAATAAATATTTTTTTGCATTTTGTATTGTATATGTTAACAAAAAAAATTATAAAAAACAACTTTTATATTTTTTTACTAAAAAATGTTTGCTAAATAGCTTTTTTTATGCTAAGCTTTTTAGGGCTATTAAAATTAGCAGTACTGGTGTAACGGTTAGCGCCTTAGATTTCCAATCTGATGGTAGGGGTTCGATTCCCCTGTACTGCTTTACAATATTCAAACCTATAGCAAAAGCAAATTCTACTCTTGATCAATAAAAAACTTTTTCTATTAGATATTTTTAAAACGAAAATAGAATTTGGTTAATTTTATTTAACTTCTCAAAAGTGAAAACTAAACCACCCAACCAATGAGTATGCCTATAGGCTTTACTAAATAATAAAAGTCGCCGTTCTAAATTTTCGTTTTTTAAAAAACTCCAAAAACGTTCACCAAAACCCTCTTCTTCGACCAGTCTGTTTATCTGGATCTGGTCATACAAATATTTTATAATATTTTATGTGGTTTTTTCGGGTATATTTGTTTATAAATCTTTAGGTCTTTGTGGAAATAATCGATATCACCTGCAATACAAAAACCGGGTTTTTCTGTTTCTATTTTTATTTGGATTTTTTTTACATGTAAAGGTGTTCAAAAAACTATAAATACCAGAACTTTGGACGCGTGTATTCGCGTTTTTTGTTGTATCTTGTAGGTTCATCTGTAATAAACTTTGGGGCGTTATTTATATTGTTTTCATCTTCTATAAAATTTTTTTTAATACATCTTAAATAGTCCATAAAGAATTAAAATTTATTTTGATAAATATAAAAAAATGTTCTCAAAAATCAATGCTAGTTTGTGAAAAAATAAAACGATTCAGGACATTTGTACCCTTCCTAAGAGCACTTTTAATTGATTGCAATAAGGATATGAATTAGACTATATATGCAACCCTAAACAACTGTTTAACATGTTACTATAAAACACAAAAGTTAGATTTTAAAAATGTGGGTATGGCTTTTTCGAGACTTTTGTGCTACAGTCAGGAGTCATAACGGATTTTTTTATTTTTATCAAAAAAACTTATATCTTTAAATTTTAATTTTGATGCTGGAAAATCAACCGCTTTAGGCGCAGGTTTAATGGCATCTGCAGAAATTTCTCGAAGATGGTCAAAAGATGTTCAAAAACAGCGCCAAGCAAGAGCTCAGTTAAGCGTGGAAATTTCCCAGAAAACAAGCACACATCAAATTCCAGCGAGTGTAGCTTTTAAAGCCTATCAGGATTTAGGATTTTCAAAAAAAGAATCTAAAAAAATAGTTGAATCTAGTCTTCAACTAACACAAAAAAGAAGAATATTCAATTTGTCATCCAAGTCTAAGAGTTAATTTTTAAATAGCTATCTTCTTTTTTCATACCTCTACAAATTCTTTACTGATTGATGACTTCTTAAAAAAAGAAAGATCCATCTATTTTATTTAATTACAATTTTCTAATTCTTTTAGAAAAATTTAATTAAATAAAATATCTTGTAATTTTTTTTATAATAGATTGAATTACTAATAATAATTCAATCTATTATAAAAAATCTAGCATTCCACTATTGTCCCCAAAGATGGCTCTCGGAGTATCGTTATGGGATAATTGTTTAACACTTTAATTCGGGATGGATAAAGGTTTTGCCGACTATCTTTAAACACTAGATAAAAAATTATTTTTTAATTTAGTACATAATAATGTACTAAATTAAAAGAAAAGGTCAAAATCAATTGATTCTTTAGTATATCTTCGCTAAAATCCTTACAGATTGTACACGTGATACCTATTTATCGGATTGTCTATCCGCGATCTAATAGAGAATATTCATCTTAAGGTGGGCTTCCTACTTAGATGCTTTCAGCAGTTATCACCTCTGAACATAGCTACCCAGCGTTTCCTATGGACATAAGAACTGGTACACCAGAGGTTCATCCTTCCAAGTCCTCTCGTATTATGGAAAGGTCCTTTCAATATTCTAACGCTTACACCGGATATGGACCAAACTGTCTCACGACGTTCTGAACCCAGCTCACGTACCGCTTTAATGGGCGAACAGCCCAACCCTTGGGACGTACTACCGCCCCAGGTTGCGATGAGCCGACATCGAGGTGCCAAACCTTCCCGTCGATGTGAACTCTTGGGGAAGATCAGCCTGTTATCCCTAGAGTAACTTTTATCCGTTGAGCGACGGCCCTTCCACGCGGAACCGTCGGATCACTAAGACCGGCTTTCGCCTCTGCTTGACGTGTCAGTCTTGCAGTTAAGCTCCCTTTTGCCTTTGTACTCTTCAACTGATTTCCGTCCAGTTTGAGGGAACCTTTGTACACCTCCGTTACTTTTTGGGAGGTTTTCGCCCCAAAAAAACTGTCCACCTAAAACTGTCAAGTGTTCTGCTTCAAGAAAACACTATTAGAATTTTAGTTTTTAAAGAGTGGTCTCTCACTGTTGGCTCCAAAGTTTCCGAAAAAACTTTTTCATAGCCTCCCACCTAGACTGCGCAAAAAAAACTCAAATTCAATTTCAAGATACAGTCAAGCTTCATAGGGTCTTTCTGTCCAGGTGTAAGAAGTCTGCATCTTCACAGACATGTCTATTTCACCGAGTCTCTCTCTGAGACAGTACCCAGATCGTTACGCCTTTCGTGCGGGTCACAACTTACGCGACAAGGAATTTCGCTACCTTAGGACCGTCAGAGTTACGGCCGCCGTTCACCGGGGCTTGATTTATTAGCTTTTTCATAAAGAATAACTAATTTACTTAACCTTCCGGCACTGGGCAGGCGTCAGCCCCCATACGTTGTCTTACGACTTTGCGGAGACCTGTGTTTTTGGTAAACAGTCGCCTGGGTCTCTTTACTGCCACCCTTACTAATAAGGGTACTCCTTCTCCCGAAGTTACGGAGCTATTTTGCCGAGTTCCTTAGAGAGAGTTTTCTCGCGCCCCTTAGTATACTCTACTTATCTACCTGTGTCGGTTTACGGTACAGGTTATTTTTTTGTATTAGTAATCCGAACTTTTCTAGGAAGTATGACATTAAGTATTTTTTTATTTCCAATGGAAATAAAAAAAGTATCATAACTTGGCCAAACTCACGTTTTTTTTCGTGAAAAGCCTCGTATATTTCCACAGAAATTCAATAATCTGCTACTTTAGCCTTCTTCGTCCTTCGTTACTACAAAAAAATAAGTACAGGAATATTAACCTGTTTTCCATCGATTACACCTTTCGATCTCATCTTAGGTCCTGACTAACCCTTCATGGACGAGCCTAGTGAAGGAATCCTTAGATTTTCGGGGCATTGGATTCTCACCAATGTTTTCGTTACTCAAGCCGACATTCTCACTTCTGTTTTGTCCACGATTTTTTACAAAAACGCTTCACCCTAAAACAGAACGCTCCTCTACCGCTTTATTTATAAACAAAGCTCATAGCTTCGGCAAATTACTTAGTCCCATACATTTTCGGTGCACAAACGCTTTACCAGTGAGCTATTACGCACTCTTTCAAGGATGGCTGCTTCTAAGCAAACCTTTTGGTTGTTTTAGCATTCGTACCTCCTTTAACACTTAGCAATTATTTAGGGGCCTTAGCTGATGATCTGGGCTGTTTCCCTTTCGACTATGAAGCTTATCCCCCATAGTCTCACTATTTACTTTAAAACTTAAGTATTCTTAGTTTGCAACGATTTGGTACCATTTTCATGGCCCGTACCGGAACAGTGCTTTACCCCTTAGTTATTAAATATAAATGCTGCGCCTCAACGCATTTCGAGGAGAACCAGCTAGCTCCGAGTTCGATTGGCATTTCACCCCTAACCACAACTCATCTGTCAATTTTTCAACATTGGTCAGTTCGGACTTCCACTTAGTTTTAACCAAGTTTCCTCCTGGTCATGGTTAGATCACTCGGGTTCGGGTCCATACAAAATGACTTTTCGCCCTATTCAGACTTGCTTTCGCTTTGGCTCCATAAAAAATTTAACCTTGCCATTTTATACGAGTCGCCGGCTCATTCTTCAACAGGCACGCGGTCAGATAGTAATCCTCCCACTGTTTGTTTGTTTAAGGTTTGATGTTCTATTTCACTCCCCTATAGGGGTTCTTTTTCACCTTTCCCTCACGGTACTTGTTCACTATCAGTTACTTAAAAATATTTAGTCTTACGAGGTGGTCCTCGTGGATTCACAAGAGATTTCACGTGTCTCAAGCTACTCGGGATACAAAAAAAATTATTATATACTGGACTTTCACCATCTTTGGTACAGGTTTCAGCTGTTTAGTTATTATAATTTCTGATTTCTGTCCCACAACCCTAGTCTTTCGACTAGTTTAGACTGTTTCCTTTTCGTTCGCCACTACTCAGAAAATCGCTTTTGCTTTCTTTTCCTTTAGTTACTAAGATGTTTCAGTTCACTAAGTATTCTCTTATTGAATTATGAATTCATTCAATAGTTTTACAGATTTCTCTATTCGGGAATCTTCGATTTTAACACTTATTTACAATTTATCGAAGCTTTTCGCAGTTAATTACGCCCTTCATCGTTTTTAAGCACTTAGGTATCCTCCTTAAACATTTTTATATTTGACCTAAATTATTCATACATAAATGATGGTTCCATAAACTCTCAACCTCGTCAATCCAGTCAGCCTTTCTTATTTCTAAAACTTTACTTTCAAACTTTAGAAATGACTTTACGTCATTTCTAAAGTTTGAAAGTAAAGTTTTCTTAAGATGAGAACCCTCGACCCGTCATTTTCAGCCAATTTTGAGCTTCGATATAATTTGTAGGAGCTAATCGAATAGCTTCTTTCCAATAATCGGCTGCTTTATCAAATAAAATTTTGGAAATTTCAACTTGCGATTTTTCAATTGCTTGTTCGCCTCTATAGTGATAAATTACAGCAATATTATTTAATGCTTGGGGTAATGACGGGTTCCGTTCTAGGGATTGATAATAATATTCTAAAGCTCGCCCATGATCACCGTTACTTGCATGAATCAAACCTATATTATACAGTATGTAACTTCTATCATAAGCATCTGTTTCAAGACGCATTGCTTCAATGAAAGTCGAAAAAATAAATTTTTATTTTTTTCTTCGCTTCACAAACCATACATGCGCTTTTCAACGCATATGGCTTTTAAAAATTCCCGTTGAAATTTTTTTATCTTTTGATTTTTAATATTACTATTCTCAATCAATATTATTGATTCTAAAAAATAAAAGAAGATAAATAGGTTGTAATAATATGAATTAAAGGTTTCACTAATGGAGTCTTTTATTTTATTATATGTAAAAGAATTAAGAAAGCCTCATACCAAAATCTATACTTAAAAAAAATTGAACCCTCTATCAAAATTATTTACAAGCTAAAAAAGAAACATTTTTCGTAAATAATCAACAACTTTAAAATTTTAGCTTCAAAACACACTAATAATTTTGTAAAGCTTCTGCATATTCTCCTTCAGATTGGGCAGACATACCGTCTCTATAATAACTAAATGCTTGTTTTTCTCTATTGGTTGTCGGCAGAATTTTTAATAAAGTATCGGCCACGACGGTAAATGTTTTATCAATAAAGTTATCATTTCTTTGTGAACGAGGCATAGAATGCTAATTATGAGAATATAAAAATGAACAACTACACAACTTTTGTTTAACCATACTTCGAATAGGTTTAAACGGACTCGAACCGTTGACTTATTGCTTGTAAGGCAACCACTCTACCAACTGAGTTATAAACCTTTGTTCGATTATAAAAAGGAATCTAGAGACTTGTCAAGTCTCTAGATTTATTTAATATAAAGCAATTCTAATAAAAGGCAGGAATCCCATAATGCGTGCATTTTTAATAGCTTTCGAAATATTTCGTTGTTGTTTTGTGTTTAAACCAGTTAACCTTCTTGGTAAAATTTTTCCTTCTGGGCTGATAAATTTACGTAATAAAAGAATATTTTTATAATTTAAATCTTGTTGTTGAAGTTTTTGATTCACAAATTTAGAAAACATTTAAAGATATTTTATTGATAATTTTTAGTATATTAAAAAAATTTTATTTATTATAGAATCACCAAATTAGAATATTGTAAAAAAGCTTTCTTTATCATATACTGCTAATTGAGATAGAACCTTTCGATTTAAATTATAATTTTGAGTTCGACAATACCAAATAAACGAATGATAATTCCAATTTCTTAAACGTACAATTGCACTAATTCGACTAATCCATAGCTGTCTCATATTTCGTTTTAAATTTTTGCGATCGCGATAACTATTAAAAAGTGCTTTTAAAGCTTTTTGATTCGCATCTCGTCTTAATGTTTTACTAGCGCCTCTATAACCTTTAGTTATTTTTAAAATTTTTTTTCTTCGATTTTTTGCAATAAATCCACGTTTGATTCTTACCATATATTTAATTAGCTTGAAATACTACCCATATACTATATGGGCTTAAAGCCCATTTTGCAAACATTCATTTTATAAGAAGGACGATAATTTTCATTATTAAACAAACTCGCTATTTAAATTTAAAAACAAAATTTTTCATAAATGAAAAGAAATCACGCTCTATAGGACTTGAACCTATGACATTAGGTTTTGGAAACCTACGTTCTACCAACTGAACTAAGAGCGCCCAGCCTTCCTTAAAGATTTTTGAGAAAGGACATGTTAAATTATTATGATTAAAAAAATTGAATCGGAATGACAGGATTCGAACCTGTGACCTCGAGTACCCAAAACACGCGCGCTACCAAACTACGCTACATTCCGTTTAGTTTTGATCCAGCGTATTATAACATAATAATTTTTCTGTACCCAATATTTTAGATACAGAAAAATTATTATTCTGAAATTGAAGATGGAAATTAATTTTGACTAGCTGTTTTTACGTATAATATTAATAAAAAAGATGTTGGGATAATAATAAATAACGTTGTGGCAATTAATCCAAGAATATTGACTTCCATTATAAAAAAATATTTATATTTAATTATTAAAGCGTTTTGTAGAACTACAAAAACAAAAGTTTAAACTCAATTTTGATAATATAATAGTTGAATAAAGTAATAGCAAACTATATACGAAAGTTGTAAAGCTTTCTATTACAAAAAGTATTCTATCAATAATAATAGAAAAAACCAAATGACAGTTTATTATAAGAAATTTATTAGGACTGAATTTGATTAGCAATTTTTTTAAATTTCGATAAAAATAATTTTTTTGATTTTTTCCGACGGGAATATTTTCCCCAATCCTGAATCACAACGGTTTTATTTTGTATTTCTAACGGTTTGAACGTTAATTTATTTCGAGAAAAAGTTGTTGATTTTTGATCATTAGGATTATATTCTGTAATCGGTATAATTTTTTGAAATTCTAAAAATTTTTTGATAATCTTCACCAATTTCTCATCTTGCAACTTTAATAAACGCATTAAGCTATCGGCTAATAAATCTAATAATTCACTAAAATTTTTAATTGTTCGAAATGATAAATTAAATACATTCAATAACAGACTATGATATAGATAGTCTTGGGTATACAGTAAAAAATTATTCCAAAAGAAATATGGATTTATTTGATTTATATTTTCTGTATGATAAAAATCATCCGGAGGAACCCATTCAATATTTTGTTCACTTTCTTCAGGATCTGATAAATAAATACGATACCAATTGAGTACACTTCGGTCTACAAAATTCAATTTTTTTTGGATGAGTTGTTGCCACCAAGTGCGAAAAGACCATTTTTGCGCTATGTTAAAAAAAATATTTTGTTGTTCAATCTGAGAATGCATTTCTTCGGCGACGGCTTTAAATAATCGAATTTCTTCAACATCTAACTCAAATTGGTTGTAATTTCTCGTTATCCAATGGTATTTTTCAGTAACAATTTGTTCAGCATAAAAATACCATTTATTGATCATAAGTTTACTCAAAAGAGTTGCTTGCTTTAAATCTTGTGAACCAAAATTAGATTGCTCATATAATTGATAAACAAATTTTTGAGACGTGCCTGATGGATAATTTTTTTCAGAAGAAAGAGATAAACTATTAGGCAATAATTCAGCGGCTTTACCAGAAAGAAGATAAACAAGTTTTGTTTCGAGTTCAATCCGTGAGATGAATTTGGTTTCTAATAAATTTACAAGACTATTTGTTGAACTATGTCGGAAATTAGGTTTACGAGTAAAAAAGGATAATACACAAATTTCAGGTGTATTTTTAAAAAGTATTGAAAATACAACTTTACTAATAGAATAATAGGCGTTTCGTAGTTGTAATTGTAGATTTTTATTTATTAAAAAATTATTTAAAGCATATACTTTTGAATTTTGAAGTTTTGGTGCATTTAGTGTTTTAGATTTATGATAAAAAATTTCATAAAGCTGTAAATAATTGTTTAAAAATTTGAGATTCTCTCTTTTCACATGAAAATAATTTTGTCGACTTGGTGTGGTCGTTATTCGATCTATACCCAGTTCTAAACTTTGAATATTGTGTTTTTTATTTTCAGAAATGGCTCGAATTGCAGATTCATTAACAATAGCTGCAATATCAGCGGAACTCAGTCCTTCTGTTAATTTAGAAAAATATGACCATACAATATCCTCATTGAAACCTAGTTTTCGACTATAGAGTTTAAATAAATCAATTCGTTTAAATTCATTAGGAAGACTCAAATATAAAAAATTATTAAAACGTCCAGGACGTAAAAGAGCGGGGTCCAATATACCAAATCTATTGGTTGCACCGATCACCACAATATTATTCAACGGCTTCAAACCATCTAATTCTATTAAGAGTTGCGTTAAAAGACTTAGTTGCTCAGTTCGAGAAATGTTTTCAAATTCATTTTCTTGTAAAACTTGCAATGAAATTTTTTCTTGAGGATCGGTTAAGGTATCTAAAGTTTCAAACGAATCCAAATCGTCGGAAGTTTCTATAGCCTGTGGTTGATGATGTTCGAAACCACTAAAAAAGGGAAACGATTGGTTATCAATTAATTCTAATAAATCATAATTACCTGTAATATTTAATGATAAATGAGCTCGACGTGCTCCAATACCATCAACTTCATCAATAAAAATAATACATGGAGCGATCTGACGAGCACGCTGAAAGAGCTTCTGAATTGTTCGAGCACCTTTACCTCTTTGACGTGGATTTTTTAATATACTACCTGATTGAATTAAGATAGGTACTTCCGATTCCCCAGCAATCGCTTGTACAAGAAGTGTTTTACCTGTTCCTGGAGGGCCTATAAATAAAAATGCTTTTGAATTTAAAAAAAGTGTCGACGAAATATCTTGAATAATATGTCTATATTTATTAGACATATTCGGATTTTTTCTGAAAATCCCATTCAAAAAATGTCCTCCTAAAGTGGCTTGTTTTGCTGAACGACATAACCAAATAATTTCTCCAATTTCTAAAATTAAATGTTCAATTCCAGCAATATTTCGTAAGCGCGTTTTAATTTTTTTTATTGAGCGAAAAGCTTTTTGTTGTTTCACCAAATTTAAATCATCTTTTAACCATTCTTCATCATCAATAATTCCAATAACTTTAATAAAATCTATAAATGTACTTAAAATTTCTTTACCATAATCTTTATATAAATTTTGAAAAATTTTATAGAAAAAAACTAAAAAGCCTACTTGAAAAAATAATAAAAACGAATGACTTCCTATAGGCTCTCTTTTATCAGAAAATTGTTCCACAGAGGAATAAAAATAGGTTTTTAAAACTGAAGTATTAGGATTTGTTTTAAAGTTATATATATTTGGTTTTTTTAAATAATTCGAGAGTGATTTTTTTTGGATTTTAGAAAATACAAAATTTGTTGGAAATCGTTCAGAATTTCTAACAAATTTTTCTACTTCTAAATTTTGGATAGAAAACGTGTTAAGGGGTGTGGAATAATATTTGAAAGAACGCGAGATTTTAGGAAAATTTTCAATAAAAATTTTTAAAAAGTTATGAGGATTGATTAAAAATTTTGTTGATAAAGAATCCATCTTTTGGTCCGGCTCATAATTAAAACTATTCGTGAAAGATTTGGTAAATTGAATTTTTTGGAATTTTTTATAAAAATTTAAATGTTCTTTTGGAAAAAAACGATACTCAGCTTGTAAACAATTTAAGTATCTTTTTTTATTCAAGGGTAGTAAACTTTTTTTACTTTGGCGAATAAATAAAAATTTTGATTTTTTTATTGTCGGCAGAAAAGATTTGATGAATAAAATATTTTTTGATTGTAAACTATTAAAAGATGAATAATAGTTTTTTAGACTATTCGTATTTACCAAAACGCTGATTGGTGAAGAATGAAATTCGCTTGGTAGTTTACTACTGATTTGGATTGGTAACTTAGTAATATTCTGATTCGAATAATAATTTAAAAATAAATATTGTCTAATAGAAACTTGTTTGAATAAACTTTTTTGTATGGCAATATTCGTAGTTTGATTAATGGATAAAAAATTGCTATTTGTTTGCCATTCTTTTCGCAACGCATATTCAAGATTTATATAAAATTGACTAGGGGGCCTTTTATATAAGGTTTTTGTTTGCCAACTAAAGATCACAGGATTTAAAAAAATATTTAAAACACTAGAAATTATTAAAATAAAACTAAACATTAAATAAAAATTATGTGTTTCTACTTCTAACGAAATTAATTGTTTTTTTAAAATTTTTTGTGCATTCAAAAACCAAAAATAATTTTTTAATAGTTTAGTTTTACTTGTTTTCCGATTGTTTCGGAAAACAAGTAAATCATTGAAAAATTTCATATTACTTATTGATATAAAATGATTTTAAATAAATTATAGGTTAATGACTATTTTTTCATTAATCGAGAACTTGATTCAGCCATACGGTGTACTTCTTCTTTTTTTCGAATGGCATTTCCTATATTTTTAAATGCATCAAAAATTTCATCAGAAAGCTTCACACTCATACTTTTTCCTGATCTCTGTTTTGCAGCCATCAATAACCATCGTATGGCCAAATTTGTAGCTCTAACAGAAGTTATTTCTACAGGAATGGAATAGACTGCTCCTCCAATTCGCTTAGTTTTAATTTCAATTGAAGGACTTAAATTTTGAATTGCGGTTTCCAATGTTTGTAGCGCATCTTGCTTTTTTTTTGTTTGAATTAATGAAAGACTTTCCAATAAAATTCTATATGCTAATTGTTTTTTCCCTTTTTTTAATAACCTATTTGTGAACATCTGAATTAAAAGACTATCGTATATAGGATCGGCTATGATTTTTCTTTTTTTTGATAATCGACGACGAGACATAGTTTTTTTTTATTTAACTTTTTTTAAACCATATTTTGAACGACTTTTGGATCGATTGGCGACTCCTAATGTATCTAGAGTTCCACGAATAATCCGATAACGTACACCTGGTAAATCTTTAACACGACCTCCACGAACAAGCACTACAGAATGTTCTTGTAGGTTATGTCCTATACCAGGTATATAAGCTGTAATTTCAAATCCTGTTGTTAATCGGACCCTAGCAACTTTGCGAATGGCAGAGTTGGGTTTTTTGGGCGTCGTCGTATAAACCCGAGTACAAACACCCCGACGCTGAGGACAATATTGTAGAGCTGGAGATTTTGTTTTTTTTAATAATTTCTTACGCGAAAATCGTACCAATTGTTGAATCGTAGGCATATAAAAAATTTTTTAAGAATATCTATAATAAGGATCCATAACTTTTTCAATCAAGCGACTCCTTTTTGAAAGTGTCTTTGATATCTATATTTGATTTTATTCTAACAATATTCTAATAAAAAATCAATTCTCAAAATTTTAGATTAAAAAAAGTCAATTCTTTATTAAATCTCTGATATCAAAGATACTTTCAAAAATTTTGCAAGGTCCGCAGCTTTTTTTTCTATTTGTTCATAAGTTAATGGTTGCCCAATTCGTGTTAATGGGATTTCTCGTTTTCCACGAATCTGTAAATAGATATTTCTTTTTGGATTTAAGCCTTGCTTTACTTCTACTCTAATTCCTTCAATTTCATTAAAATTATAATATAAATTAATTCGTCTATTTTTACCTGGGAAACCCCATCGAAAGATACGTACCTTTTGTAGGCTATCATCAAATTCATTAAATCCACTACCAACACTCCAAAAAATCGTCAACCAAAGATAAATACTAAAAATAACTCCTAATAAACCATAAAAACACATCACCAAACCTTGTGGAAAAAATTGAATGTTTTCGGATCCAAAAATTAAAATTTTAGAACTCCAATAACTAGCTGCTCCAGTTAATAGAAAACAGATAGATCCAAAGCAAATAATGGAAGCCCACCAATAATTACTTAAACGTCTTGCACCAATAATTTTATATCGTCGGATTTTAGTTTTTTGATTCATTAAATTTTTATATTAAACTGAATTAATTATTAATATCGCCAAAAATTTTTTTAAATACTTCTTGAACTTTTTCACCGGAATCTATCGTTTCTAACGGATCTTTTCGAAGACGATGTCTTAAACAAAGAGGAATTACTCGAAAAATATCTTCAGGTGTAACTTCATATCGTCCTTCAAAACAAGCTAAAGCCTTTGCCGCTCGATTTGTCACAAGGTCACCACGTAGGCCATCAACATCTAATTCAGAACAAATTTGAGATATTTTAATACGAAAATCATAATTAATTTTTACTTTTTTTAAACCTGCTCGGGCTTCTACGAGAGTCGTTATTAATTGATTTTGAGAGTCTTCATAATTTTTTCGAAAAGAAAATGGAGCTTCATCGAACGCAGTACGCTGTTCAACAATTTGTACACGTAATTCTGGTTCTTTTACAGTCCCTATTTGTGCATGCATCCCAAATCGATCTAATAATTGAGGTCGTAGTTCTCCTTCTTCAGGATTTCCCGAGCCTACTAAAATGAAGCGTGCTGGATGACTTATTGAAATACCTTCCCGTTCAACTGTATTCCATCCGGAAGCCGCCGCGTCTAGTAAAACATCCACTAAGTGATCATCTAATAAATTCACTTCATCAACATATAAAATTCCACGGTTAGCTTTCGCAAGTAAGCCAGGTTCAAAAGCTTTAACTCCTTCCGTAAGTGCTTTTTCGATATCGATTGTCCCGCAAACCCGATCTTCTGTAGCTCCTAATGGCAAATCAATCATCTCTATTTTTTTAGAAACGATTTCAATTTTTTCATTATTTTTCAATTTTTGTCGAACTTCTTCACTCATTAATTCTGGATCCGTAGGATCTGAATTAAAAGGATCTTCGGCTACAACTTTAATTTCCGGTAGTAAATCGACAAGAGCACGAACCGTAGTAGACTTACCGGTACCTCGATCCCCCATAATCATAACTCCACCAATTTTTGGATCAATAACATTTAATAATAAGGCTAATTTCATTTCTTCCTGACCAACAATGGCTGTAAATGGAAAAATAGGTCTCTCTTGTTGGTTTTGTGTATCTTCCAGTATCATAGATAATTTTATTATAAGTAAGTATGAGCGTATGTACTCGCTTTTATTTAATTAATGGAATAAAAAATTTTCTTATTATAAGTGTACAAACTTAGCTTTATTTAATTAGGGTTTTTCATTTCTCAAAACAAATTTTTAAAATTACTATTTTTTATTTTTGATTCTAAACAAATTGAGCTATAAGCTATTAAACGAATATTATTTGTATAAAAAATCCATTTTTTGTTATTTTTCTTAATATAGTATTTATTTGAAATCCATTTTGCCCCTTTTGTCTTATGACGTTTTCTTAAAAAATACCAAATTCTCCAAAATAAATAATTATTTAATTTTTTTTCAAGTGGCTTTTTTGCTGGCATTTTTAAATATATTTTCTGCCAAATTTTAATTTTTTGATTTAAATAAAAAATAACTTGATCAATCGTAAAATTTCCCGTATTTTTTAGAAATCTTTTAATTTCTAATTGGTGTGATTGAATATTTTTAAAGCTTGCTTGTTGTATTAATTTATTTTTGTATTTTTGAATTTTCCAACCATATAAATTAAAGCCTTGTTCAAGTAAATAAGTATTAATTGACTGAAATTGAAAATTTTTTTGATTACGAGTTATATTCTTAACGTTATTTAATATATAATTATCTGAAAAATTTGTACTACAAACAATTAATAGATTTGTATTATGTATAAATATTGTTTGATGAATAATTTTTTTTTTTAATAATTTAAAATAAAATATTAAAAAAAAAGATTTTAACAAGCGCTTAAATGAAATAGAATAAATAGGAATTAGTAACAGTTGTTCTTTTTGATAAAAATTCGATTGATTTTGAAAATAAAAGTTTATTAAAAATTTTTTTTCAATCCAAAAATTTTTTAATAGCCAGAATTTTATCTGTGTTGAAAATAAAAAACGATATTTACAAAAATGAACCCATTGAATATGATTGGCTTGAAGAATATATTTCAAATAACTTAAAAAATGCCAACTATTTTGATAAATTCTACCCTCCCAATTTAAACGTTTAGATAGTCTTTCATGAATAGGTAAACAAGCCAAAACCCATAAAATTTGTTGTATTTGTACAATTAATTTTTCACAATAAGTTTGTTTTTTCAGAAATAAAACATGTAATTTTAATGAATTATACTCCCAAATTTGATTAAAATACGCAGGCTGACCAGACTGTAAAATTAGAGAATTTTTTACAAATTTGTTAGTAGAAACAAAAGAATTTTTTAATAACTGACTGATTATAAATATTTTAAAAGAAAAAGAAGTTAAAATCAAACGTTGTAAGTTTCTAACATTGCGTGATGTATTTTGACGCCGTGCAAGCCTTTTCTGAATTTTATAGAGGCGATAAAAAAAATGGCTCCAATGAAATTTTCTTTTAGTTCGATCAATTAGAGGACACATAAAAATAAAATAACTTATTTACATCTCCTTAGATAGGATTTGAACCTATAACCTTCCGGTTAACAGCCGATTGCTCTACCATTGAGCTACTAAGGATTTTCTTATGACCAATATTCTATAAAAATTTTTTTTATTGTCAATTCTATTATATCAGCAGTTAATATAAATATTTTTTTATTATAAAGTTAATATAAAACTATTTATATTTTACAATAGGGTGGAGTTTGATATTATATTTTTAACAGCTTTTAAATAAAAAGTTTGGGAAACAAGTATATAATATACTTATAAAAAAAATCAAACAGAATTATGACAGCTATTTTACAACGTCGTGAAAATACGACTTTATGGGCACGTTTTTGCGAATGGATTACAAGCACAGACAACCGTTTATACATCGGATGGTTTGGAGTTTTAATGATCCCTACTTTATTAACAGCAACATCTGTATTCATTATTGCGTTCATCGCAGCACCTCCAGTAGATATTGATGGTATCCGTGAACCTGTTTCAGGATCTTTATTATACGGAAACAACATTATTTCAGGAGCGATTATCCCAACATCAAATGCTATCGGATTACACTTCTACCCTATTTGGGAAGCAGCTTCTTTAGATGAATGGTTATACAATGGTGGTCCTTACCAACTAATTGTTTGTCACTTCTTCTTAGGAATTTGTGCTTACATGGGTCGTGAGTGGGAATTATCTTTCCGTTTAGGTATGCGTCCTTGGATTGCTGTAGCTTACTCTGCTCCAGTAGCAGCTGCAACTGCAGTATTCATTATTTACCCAATTGGTCAAGGTTCTTTCTCTGATGGTATGCCTTTAGGAATTTCTGGTACATTCAACTTCATGATTGTATTCCAAGCGGAACACAACATTTTAATGCACCCATTCCATATGTTAGGTGTTGCAGGTGTTTTTGGTGGTTCATTATTTTCTGCAATGCACGGTTCATTAGTAACTTCATCGTTAATTCGTGAAACTACTGAAAACGAATCGACTAACGCAGGTTATAAATTCGGTCAAGAAACTGAAACGTACAACATCGTTGCTGCACACGGTTACTTTGGTCGTTTAATCTTCCAATATGCTTCATTCAACAACTCTCGTTCTTTACATTTCTTCTTAGCTTTATGGCCAGTAGTAGGTATTTGGTTTACTGCTTTAGGTATTTCAACAATGGCTTTCAACTTAAACGGATTTAACTTCAACCAATCTGTAGTTGATTCACAAGGTCGTGTTGTTAACACGTGGGCTGATATCATCAACCGTGCTAACTTAGGTATGGAAGTAATGCACGAACGTAATGCACATAACTTCCCATTAGATTTAGCTTCTGTAGAAGCTCCTTCAGTTAATGGATAAGTCGTTTTTTTAATTCTTTTTTAAATTGTAGAGGATTTTCAAGAATCCTCTACAATTTAAAAACTATAGTCGGCTTTATAAGCCCCTCCCACCACACGGACTACCCCAAGCAATGCTTTGGTACATTTTTTTGATGTTGTTGGGTCTTGTAATCCATTTTCG